CATTACACTATAAAATAAATTAACATAAGATCATAGTAACAACATAGACTCAGTAAAATGAAAGCTCAAAGATCACAAAACAACAAAATAAAACAAAAAATGAGATTGCAAAGCAAAAGAAATAAATTAAGGACCTAAATAATGCCAATGTATTAATAAAGGACATTAATAAAATGTATTAATAAGGACATTAATAAAATAGAAACAACAAAGAACAGACATTAAAGAAAAAATAATAATGTTATAATAAAAATAATAATGTTGCTTGAGATAAATACATGCCATGAAGAATAAAAAGACAAATGCAATTAGAAAATAACAAGTATGGAGGACAAAGGTAATACAACATATGGATAACTGGTCATCTGCAAGGGAAAAATAAAAGAGAATGTGTTCAACGATGTAATTAAGACAATTTCAGTGAAAGAAGGAAAATACAAGCTATAACCAAAAATTATACACTGTTTTATAGGAAAAACAATGATATAGATTCATGGACACCAAGCCATTTTCTAAATTATTTTTATCTGCAATTAAATGTCAAAGATAATGAGAGAATTCTTCTGGCATCTAAGTGGTATGTATAGAGGGAAAAGTAAGCTGACTTCAAATTTTCAAGAGCAGTATTTAATGCCAGAAGGCAGCTGAGCAATATCCACAGAGTTCCAAGGAAATGAAAATGCAACCCAAGAATATTATGCCCAGCCAGTTTATAAATCAAATATAATGGCAATAAGCAAACATTCTCAAGCACATAAGAGCGCAGACATCACAGGACCAGTGAGTCTGCAAGTTAAACACCAATTTGATAACAAAATTCAGCCAACAAAAAGTTGAATGAAAATAAAAAATTCAAGAGTACAGAAGTATGGTAAAGTGACTATGGTGAATACTGAAATCCTTTAAATACAGAGCTAAGACTCTATAACTGTGAAAACTGTGGTTACAGTATATACTATAATTAATCTCAACCTAAACTATGCAAATATTAACTAATGAAAGTTTAGAATTGTGGGGAAAGTAGTAAAAGTACGTAACTGCTGATTTCATTATCTTTTACAAAAGTTAATCATGCTTTCTAAAATTAGAATATATAGCTAAAGAAAAAAAAGAATTTTAACATCTAAAGATTGCTTTGCAATAGTGTTTTTTTAACCACATAAGAATATTTTAGGAAACAATATCTCTTAGATTTATATGAAGTTCAAGAAAGCCCTTTATATTCACTTTACTTTCTTTTTCATTTATTAAATTTAAGTAAAATAAAATTTAAAACATTTTATTAAAAAGCTAATATTATATAATTATTTTTTATAAACTTACTTCTAAATATATCTTTGTACCTACAAATGTGTACACACACATATACTATAAACACAGAGACACAGATACATGTACACATATCGTATGTACCTATAAAGAGAAGGAAAAAGACAGAGTGGCATTTACCTAATATTAATTTTAGGTTTTATGGGTGGTAGAGTTTTGAATAATAATTTACACTCTTCTTTGTACTTTCCTTTGTTTCTTAAAGTTTTAAAAATATATGTCAGTTAAAAAGGCAGTAATTTCCAAACTTACTGTGGTACTGGCATAAGGAACTAAATATGGAATAAAACTGAGAGTCTGGATATAAACTCTTACATTCATGGTCAAGTGATTATCAATAAGGGTAATTCAGGGAGGGAAAGAATAGTCTTTTCAACAAATGGTCATGAGACAACTGGAAATTCACATGCAAAAAAATGAAGTTGGACCATCTAACTCATACCATACCCCAAAATTAACTCAATATAGTTAAGAGACCTAAATGTAAGAGTGAAAACCATAAAACTCTTTATGATTACATCTTCATGATTTTCAATTAGGCAATGAAGAAAATATTTGCAAATCATAATCTGAAAAGGGACTTGAATCTAGAATACATAAACTACTCTTACAACTAAGTAATAAAAGACAATCAATATTAAAAAATCAGCAAATGATCTTAATAAACATTTCTCCAAAGAAGATATACAAACAGCCAGTAAACCCATGAAAAAAGTACCCAGCATCATTAGCTATCAGAGAAAGGCAATTTAAAACAACAATGAGATACCATTTCATACTCACTAGGATGGCTATTATCAAACAAATAGAAAACATCCCTGGCTGGTGCAGCTCAGTGGATTGAGCGCGGGCCTGTGAACCAAACAACCACAGTTTGATTCCCAGTCAGGGCACATGCCTGGGCTGCAGGCCAGTTCCCAGCAGGAGATGCATGAGAGGCAACCATACATTAATATTTCTCTCCCTCTTTTCTTCTCTTCCCCTCTAAAGATAAATAAATAAAATCTTTTAAAAAGTAGAAAGCAACAAGTGTGGATGAAGACGTGGAGAAACTGGAACCCTTGTACATTGCTGGTGAGAACGTGAAATTGTGCAACCAATGTGGAAAACAGTAAGGCAATATCTCAAAACATTGAATTATCATATAATCTAGTGATTCCATTTCTGGATCTATACTCAAAAAAATTGAAAGCAGTGACTTCAAAAGATATTTGTATAATAATGTTCAAAGCAGTATTATTCACAAGAGCCAAAACGTGTAAACAACCCTAGCATCCATCAACAGATGAATGGACATAGAAAATGTGGTGTGTGTGTGTCTATGTGTGTGTGTGTGTGTGTGTGTGTGTGTGTATAATGAAATATTGAGCCTTAAAAGGGAAAAGAATTCTGTCACATGCTTCAAGATGGATGAACCTTGAAGACATCATGCTAAGCAAAATAAGCCAGACAGAAAAGGCCAAATACTGTATGATGCCATTATATGAGGTCCCTAGAGTAGTCAAACTCATAGAGACAGAAAGTAGGAGGGTGGCTGCCAGGGACTGTGGGGAGGGAAGAATATGGAATCACTGTTTAATGGCTACAAGTGCAATGTGGGAAGAGCAAAACATTCTGTAGGCCTGGTGGTAATGGTTGCACAACAGTATGAATGCACTTAATACACTGAACTACATACTTAAAAATGGGTGAAATGGTAAATTTTATATTTTACCACAATTATAAAAAGTAAAAATTAAAATAAAAAAAGAATAAAGTACTTTTACATGATACAACATGAGCCTTGAAAACAGTAACTGAATGACAAGCCAGTCACAAAGTTCTACATACAGGGGTGGGCAAAAGTATGTTTACAGTGTAATAGAAATAAATAATACAGTAACTAATAAATAATACAATAATAACCTGTGTTTTATATACTCACAATTGTAAAATTACTTTTGCCCCACCCTGTATTATATGACTCCATTTATATGAAATGTCCAGAAGAGGCAAATCCCTATAGACAGAAAGCAGGTTAATGGTTGCCAGGGGCGGAGGAGGGTGGGAAAGAGGAGTGACTGCTAATTGGCAGGGATTTCTTTGAAGGATGATGGAAATGTTTTGAAATTACATAGTAGTAATAATGGCACAACCTTGTGTATATTTGAAAAAAAACCACTGGCTTATATACTTTAAACTGGTCAATTTTATGGTATATGGATTATATCTCAATAAAGCTTTTACAAAAACATAAAACTTATTTGAAAGAGATGAAAGAAAAACTGAATGATTTGGTGGAGAGAACACTAAGTATTCTAAGGGAAGTTGAAATCAGAACCTCAGATACACAGTAAATACAATGCACTCACTTAACATTGCAGGATATTGGGAGAAGTGGGTTTTAGCAGTAGGAATTTCATCTAATCAGTCAACCAAGCATATGGCCTCTGAGCCAGTTTTCAAGTGGCCTTTCCACATATATGCCCCTTTTCCCTAACCAAAAAAAAAATAAAAGGAATGTGGAGATGAGGAAAAGCCAGCACACTCATGATCTCTCCATGTATTCAGATTATACTTGCACATCACTTATATCTGACATTGTGGACAATATGACCCCAAACTGCATAAGAGCACGAATGTCAAACACCCAAAATACCCATCCCTGGCTGGTGTGGCTCAGTGGATTGAGCACCAACCTGTGAACCAAAAGGCTGCCAGTTCAATTCCCAGTCAGGGCACACACCTAGGTTGCAGGCCAGGTCCCCAGTTGGGGGCATGTGAGAGACAACCAATGAATGTATCTTTCATATATTAATGTTTCTCTCTTTCTCCCACCCTTCCCCGCTTTCTAAAGGTAAATAAATAAAATCTTTTTTTTTTTTAAAGAAACCCATCAATCCAATCTGAGCTGAGGCTACATCTTCTACTCTTATCAGCTAGCTACAAGCAGTGTTTCCAGAGCAGGTCCCCCTTTGTTAACTTTCTTATTCCTATGTGCACCTTGGCCACACACTTATATAAGCTGACATGCTTTCTCTGATAGTTTTGAGATCCGGCCATCTGAGTATTTCAGTGGGTCTTGTTAATACAATGGTTTATCAAATATATATGGTGTACAAACTGTGTGCCAACTACATACTATGTACTGACTCAATGAAAAGCACGGTCCGGCCTTGCTGAGTTTATACATAGGATGGAGGAGATAGGAAAAAATAAGTGACTTTAAATGAAAATATAATTATAAATAATGCACTAGCAATGACAATGAAGGCTAATAAAAAGGCAAAGGGTAGAGAGTGACAGGGTGGATGCAGATATGATTAGCTGGGGTGACTCCGAGAGTGTGGTATTTAGGCCAAGACAAAAGGATAAGAAGGAGCCAACCTTGCAAAGATCATTCCAGGTAGAGGAACAAGATTTCTTTCTTATTTTTGTTTTTAAGGTCACTTAAGATGCAACTATCCATATCACTGTGCACAAGACAGCTTTTGGTCACGGATATCTTGAAACTGGAGGGAGATCACCTCTCTAAAACAACACTTCCCTGTGTCCACTTCATTAGCTTCCCATTTTCCCCACTGCATTAAATCGTAAATCTTTCCCCCACTTTTTAATGCTTACATCATCTAGTCCCCACATGCCACACCCCCACCAACTGTGTATCACACTCATGAGAACTCACAAATTACCTGGGAAAGAATCAACTGCCCATGACATGTGTGAACAAATTTTCTTAAAAATGAAAAATAGGTGTCATGTCCAAGTCTTCCAACAAGGAACCGGAGAAGAAAATAGCCCTAGAAGAAAGGAAGAAGTAGAAGTAAAAAAGATGACTATCATAGGTTTATCAGAAAAATGCTTACACAATCAACTCTAACTTACCCACAAGCACTTTGTGCGCACCTAGAATGCTCCATCTGACGTGTTCCAGGCTGCCCTTTATATTCTTACCAATGGGGTTGGGCCTAGAAATTAAGGATCAACTGCTATGCTTTCAATTCATCTGGGCATTTCCGTTTTCATTTTTTCTCGATTTACATGAAATCTGGACCCTCATCACAGACCAGAAGGACAGAGGGGCTTGGCTTCTCTCTCCCTCAGCAATTAGGAAAGAACTTTACAACTCAAAAAATTCCTTCTTATTCCTACATTCTAGTGACATGACAGCATATATTCTAACATGACAGCAATTTTAAGATTCTGCTCTTCGAAGCTGACATGAGGCAGGGAGAAGGGAGATACAGGGCAGGAAATCATTCAGGTTCCTTTGACTCATGCCTATTTTGGGGGTATAAAGTGTTTTAATTATTGGATAAGCAGATATCTATCCAGTCAAATGTCATTACAATGTAGGGTTTTTTTTTTGTTTGTTTTGCCCCAACCATGTTACTAAATACTAATCTTCTCTGTTTATGTGTATAACCAAAAAACTGCCTGACCATAATAACTGGCTTCTGTCACTTAGATGCACTTACCTTTAAATAATGAACCTGCATGAAGACCTTCTCTGGGTTGAGCCCACGTTTGATAACAGATGATCCTGAGTCACTCATATGGCCAGTTTTCTCTTTATTGGGTCTAAAATGATGCAGTAAAAGTTTTTTTTTAAGTATAGCACATTTTAAACTAACTAGACCATCATATCATCCTAGTCTTATTTTCGGAGTTGCTCAACAGTGCCTTAATTCTATTCAACAGTACCAGGTATAATTTAAAACAGTTTACATTATAAATGTATATACTGAACAAGGAATGATTTATATTTGGGTTGGCAACTTGAGGCTGGCCATTGGCAATATTTTATATCATCTTATCTGAGATTAATGCTTGCTAGACCCTCAAGGAATCCAAGCTCCAGTGTGCATTGTGTAAGAACCTATGCACTTTTCTTTTGGTGGGAATGATGGACTGAAAAATGCAATGGAAAATGTGTTTTACTTTGAAGAGTAAAGAACTTACATCTTTTCAAAAATTTTTGAAAACCCCATGTAATTCAATTCTCTTGATTTGTGTTTAATAATGAGGCTACTTTAAGAAACATTTATTTAATGAACAAGCAAGACAGAAGCAAATTCATAGATATAGAGAACAAACTGGTGGTTGCCTGATGGGAGGAGGGTGGGGGGATTGGGTGAAAGAGGTGAAGTACAAATTGGCTGTTATAAAATAGTGATGGGCATATAAGGTACAGCTTAGGGACTGTAGTCAATAATATTGTAATAATGCTACAAGATGTCAGGTGGGTGCAAGGCTTAATGGGAGAATCACTTTGAAAGTTACATAACTGTCCATGGACATGGACAACAGTGTGGTGATTGCTGGGGTGAGGGGGACATAAGGGGACAAAATAGTAATGGGAAAACATACAATAAAGATAAAAAATTACTTTAAAGTTATACAAATGTCTAACCACTATGCTACATAGCTAAAACTAATATGGTATTGAATGTCAACTGTAATTGAAAGATAAAAACAAAATTTAAAAGAAGTATTATACTCTGAAGTCATTTTAGAATCACAAAAACAAAAACTAAAGTTACAGAAGCCCATGTTTTGAGAACAGGTATGGACATTCATGACCACATACTTCAATCTCCTCATTTCATAAACAAGAAAAAGTGAGGCACATAGGAATTAAGTCTTCATCCAAGTTCTCATGGCTTGTTTTGATTTGTGGTAACATTAGGACCAAAACCAATGACTCCTTATTATCTATTAGAGTGCTTTCTGTTATGCTCTATGACTTTAAATATTTTTAAAGTCCTTTTAATAAAATATAATTGTGTTATAGTGAAGCTTCAACAACCAGCTAAAGTTAAACTATGTGACAAGGTATTTGCAGCTTTCAGCTGTTCTGCAGCCAGTCATTTGCTGGACAAACACTGAAGAGTACATACTGACCTGAGTGGAACTCAAAGGCTCCTGAGAGTACCAGCATGTCAGAAAGGCCAGTGGTTATTTTTAGATGGTAGTGTGGTATAAGTATAAGTGACACAGCTTTTGGACTTGAGGAGACCGCATGTTGAATTTCAACCTTACTTCTTATGCCTGTTACTTACTAGAAGTTTAGTTAATTTTTTTAATCCTCAATTTATTTACTTGCAAAATGGAAGTCATCCTACCTATCTTCCCAGGTCCTATGGGGAATAATGGAAATATGTATGTAAAATCCCTGGTAAGAGCCAGGGATACATAAAATATTCAATAAACTTAATAATAAAATATTATAAAGTCGTTAGCGATAAATACTGCTAAATTCAAGGTTGGTCATCTGATGTTAAAGGCAATGGATTTAGGCTGTTCTTTCACTTAATCCCATACATCCACAAACACAACATGCGAGGATGTTGGACCTAAAAGAATTGCCTGAGGATAAGTCAGCTTGCCAAATGGACCCCTTTGCAGTGTGCTCTAACTGCCAAGCAAAGACCCTCCGATTAAATCTCTGCTGGACAGTTCGGTACATTACCCCAGCAAACACAGACAGGGCCTGGGACAAGCAGCCAATAGAGCAAAGTGTGTAGTTTCAGTTTTTCTACTTGATCACTGACTTAGCTACATGACTATGCTTGTAGGAATAACTAGTCCCTTTCATCTTCATTCAAGACTGTATTGAAAAGCATCAGCTTTATTCCTCTTCTCAAGTTTGTCCTGGGGTTGAGTGTTTTTATAAAGAAAACCACACTGGCTTTGATAGGGAAAGCCCACCAGCCACAGCCTTGCAGGGAGGAAGGCTTCTCAGAACCTGATTCAAACCAGTTTTCCCAGGCTCAAGACAGACAGGCTTGCTGTAAATTTCTTAAGCCCTTGAGCTCTGAATTAGACTAATAGAAGGGTGGGGTCCAGAAGACAGATGTAAATCTCTGTGCTGAAGGCTCATTTCTAGGCTCAAGTTCCTAATGATGCTTTTAGTTGGTGCTTTATTTCCTTTGCCTAAAAATGTCCTTCCAGAAAGCATCACTCACTTATTCTTTCCTTCTACCCTCTCCAAATGAAGATGTGTTCAAGCAAATTCCTTTATGCTGACAGCATCCAAGGCAAATGTAGAAATCCCCTAGAGATTCCTTTTAAAGTAGATGTGGTGCTGGGGAGCAGTGCCCAGGCAACCTTTGCAGCGCTCCACGAGTGAAAAAGGGCTGTGCTACTCTGGTTCTCACAATGCCACTTATTTCAGGTCTGCACAGAGAGAAAGCAGGAAACAAATGAACTAATGAACTTCCACTACATGTGGGAACAGATGACTCTCACAGGCAAGTGAAAGAAGTCACACCCCAAAAAGTACAGCAGTTTCCCCTCACCCATGGTTTTGCTTTCCGTAATTTCAGTTGCCCATGGTCAACCGAGGTCCAAAAATATTAAATAAAAAATTCCAGAAGTAAATAGTTTATAACTTTCATATTGCATGCTGCTCTGAGTAGCTTGGTGAAATCTCATGGCCTTCCCACTCTGTCACACCTGGGGTGTGAATCACCTCTGTGTCCAACGTATCCACATTATTATGTGCTCCCTGCCTTAGGCACTCTGTACCCTTCTCTGTGATCAGATCAACTGTCACAGTATCACAGTGCTGGGTTCCCCTTATTTTGCTTAATAATGGCCCCAAAGCACAAGAGTAGTATTGACAGCAATTCAGACATGCTAGAGAAGCCAGAAAGCGCTTCATTTAAGTGTACGCATGGAAGAAAACAGTATATGTAGGGTTTGGTACTGTCTATGCTTTCAGGCATCCATTGGGGGCTCTTGGAATGCATGGATAATGGAGTGGGGGTAAACTGCTGTCTACACATATATATGTACAATTCTATTTAGATGGGGTCAAAGAACAGGCAAAACAGCGCTATGGGGATAGAGATCAGAAGAATGGTTACCTTTTGGAGGGAGTATTGACAGAGTGGGGGAAAAGAAGATTTTGGGGATGCTGGGAACATTCCAAATATTGATCAGAGTGGTGCCTTCATAAGCATAAATAGTAAAAATCTATTAAACCATCTAGAAATATCTGTGTACTTCAGAGTATGTATGTTATACTTTAATTAAAAGGTTAAGAAAAATAGATGCACACAAAACAGTATACATTTTGTGAGACTAAAAGGGAGTCAATCTAGAAAAGGGGCTTTGCTGTTCATGTGCCATGAACACATGCCTGGGATTAACTAAACCTCATATATCTGGCAACCAATGAAATACCTTTTAAAAATAATATTGTGAGAGTCAGGAAGAACTGTGGCAAGTACAATTGGCTTAATCTATCCCCAGTTTCATCCACCTTCTTCCTTGCCACATATATGATCAAATTTGAAAAGTTAAATGCTCACTTTCCAAGTGTTCTTGCGGCTACAAATAGTTGGAAGATATGGACCAGGCCAATGAGGCAAAAGCAGGTATCTACTGTGGTTGGAAGTGAAGTTCTGGGATAGCTTTTGCTTTCTTTACAAAAGGAAAAAATAATTGGTACTGCACCTCTTCCCCCCAATTATGGTAGATGGAGCTGTGGCAGCCACCTTGCAACTACGAATCAGCAAATCAATATGCTATGGAGACCAGGTGGAATGAAAGAAAGCAAATAGTCTTTGATGACATCATTCAGCTGTTGGCTGCCCAAGACTGCCTGCCTTCAAACTGATTACTGTTTAAGAAAAATAAACCCCATTTGTTTAAGTCAGTATTGCTTACTATTCTATGAATTATAGGTAGATTCATTCCTAAAAGATAAAGAATCAAACTAACAGCAACCATTTCCCATAACTGCTTTGTGCCACATATCCCACCAAGCTCTTCTCATGTATCGTGGCCTTCTGCCCCCTACAAGAAACTGATGGGGCAGGTGCTATGATTAAGCCCATTTAAAAGTGGAGGAAAAAGAGGCCTTGATACAACCACAGCACTAACTAGTGGAAGAATTGAGCTGGAACCAGAGTCCTTGGAACACTGAGGTCATTTACTGCATTCATAGGCCTCATCAAGATCCAGGTCCCCAACTTGGTTGTGCCAAATACTAAGTGGAAAACCACAGACATGTTGCTTACCCTTCATGGAATGGAGCTTCCTCACCTGTAAGAAGTGGGATGAGGCTCAGGTAACATGAAGGCACTTTGTAAACATGAAAGTGTTAAGCATTTCTTAGACATTATTCCCCAGTGTTTATCCTTGGCTGGAATACATGGAATGCGGGAGATCAAGTTACATGGTTGTTTGGGCTGAAATGCCCTTGGTTTCTGTTGTACCTGGCATCAAGTATAACAACTGAGATTAGCATGACCTTCCCTGCCTACCTCCTTCCTTTCCCACTGCACTCCCAGAAGAAATAGGAATATTTAAAGAGTGCTGACAGTGACAATGGATACCCAGTGATTTGGAATCCAACCTCTTGAAAAAAGGACTGATTCTGGTGGGATTTGGGATAATGCCCCTGAAAGGTGCACAGATGCATCCACTGGGGTCTGAACATCTACTGCTCTGCCATAGCCCACATGGACTGTCTGCCTGCATTCTCTACCCTGTACTCATTGGTACAAGATATCTTCCTCCATAAACTCTACTTTTTGCTTGAGCCAGGGACTAGGCATCCCAAAAATGAG